TTTCTTAAATGAAAATTTCAATGTTTATTATATTACATTTCCCAAATATTTCATTTTCAGGAAAGTTATCAGGCAACAATTACACTCAATTTTGCACACGTTTCTGTCATCATATTTTCCATTCAAATCTTGTAAGAATGTTGGATATTCATTTTTAACATTTAGAAAATTCAGGAAAGCCATAAAAAGTACTCTTTTTCACATGGCATAAAAGGTGACAGTATTCATAGAAAAAACTCTTCTTAAAACAAAGTAAACAAAATTCTAGCATTACTTATAGAAATGCCAGAAGCATCGGACAGGGAAAATCAGGACAGAGGAAAAGAAAGTCTGGATTTAATCTCTCCCTTATTTTATCAAAAGTAAAGGAATTAGTTTCATTTGCAGACCAAATGCTTCTTGAGTGTTTGCAGTTTTTTTTTTTATACTATTGTTCACTCAATACAAGTCTCAGGAGCCACTCATGGTAGAGGGTTAATGAATAAGGTTGTTGTAAGGATTTAAAGGTAGGAAGTAAGACATGCATACTATAGTGAAATGTAGGATAGATAATGGTTGACCATAGACTTGAAGAGGTCGAGGAAGCATCATATGGAGAGAATGTTCCACAAAATAGTGGTTCTTGGAAAGAAGCTGTCCGAGTGGAGCTTTCTCCTTACCAAATGAAATACAAAGAGGATGTGGCATAGTGTGTACTAAGGTCTGAACTGGTGGAACCAGACAATGTAACTTGCCTGAACATTTGCTATGAAAATAGCATCAGAGGAGTAACAGGCTAGCAACATTTTGTCTGTGGAGAAAGGGCTTGCAGGGTGGAAAATAATTCATCACCCACAAAACTGCAAAGATGCTTCTGAACTGTCATGGCTGGAAAGTGAATATTAGGGAGCTCCAGCTCAGATGTGACAGCAACACTCCATTTTTGGTCTAATTTGATTTTTGTAAAGATAGAGCATAACAGGAAGGATTAGGTACTTTCTGGAGCAGGAAATTGACCATTTTTCCCAAAATCTTTAGCAACTGTAGAAATACACAAGTCCTATTCAAGATCTGTAGTGAGCTTTAGTCACAACAAATGTTTGGAGCAAAGAGCTTCATTGAGAGTATTGTGAGTTTTTCATCAGGACTGGAGTAAATTCAGAGTCTACTTAGGGATGATGAAACATTACAGGCTTTGCTTTGGAGGTATTGAATGATATAAGCTGTGAGAGCTCGGTCAGTAGAGAGATCAGCTCCAAAAACTGAATATTTTTATCTATAGAAAAAAATTGTTTGGTTTTTGGAACTTTTTTTAAACTAATAAAACATCTGCCAGTAATTGTTATCGCCTGCTTCTAAATGCAAATGAAATATTTACCAATCAATTAATAAATGGTAATTTTAATTAGAATCTTACATTATTCACTATCACTCCACTGCCTAAAAATCAACCTTATTGTCTCACCTAAATCCTGAAAAATGTTTGGTCATAAAAGTTTCACATCAGAGATTACCTACCTTTATTTGGATGGGTGAATATTTGAGTGTCATGTTTTTATTATTATTTTTAATCTTTTTTTATTCTCCAGATAAATGGTAAAAGAATAAAGAGAGCTAAATAAAAGAAAATTTTCTTTCTGCAAATCTTGCTTGAAATCATGGAAGAATCCACAGTTGGAAAAAACTAAAACTAATCACATGAAATGGGAATTTATAAATAACTAAATAAATAATAACTAAATAAAAATTTTATAGACAGCTAAATTCCATCAAGTCCCAGAAATTATTTTCTGGTTTAAAACAAACAGGAATGAGAACAAAATAAATGGTATGAAATTTTAAATCTCTTTCACCTTTATCAACAAGTCCAATGCAAAAACTTGTCATTTAAAAACATGACACACAATTGCCTCTACAAATTCTGCTCCATTTAACAAATATGACAAGAGTTATAGATAAAATGTTTGCTTTAAAAAAAAAAAAAAAAAGAAAAAAAAAAGCTGCAACCATAAATGAAACATTTTTAATATTTAATTTATTTGAATATAGTTGAAGTGTTGTGCGACAAATTGAACAAATATTCAAAAGAGAATCCGACCCTGAAAATTGAGTTGAGCCCTGGTCAGTTGGTTAAACTATTTTAGTATTTACAGCAAAGATTTAGATGGGAGTCTAACATGTAAATAGTGTGGAAAATCTTTTCCTTCTTATATCACAGGAAACCTTGAAAGAAATGCAAACACAAATGGCAATGATAAATAAATGTTGAGTTGCCATTAAGGACATTTTGGAAAAGCTGTAATAATTCTTTCTTTTGAAAATGGGTCTTTTTTTTTTTTTTTTTTAGTGAGGTGTTTTAAGTCTACAAAAGCAAAAATGGTTACTTTACAGGGAAATTTATATAAAAAATATACATCCTTCCACTTTTGAAGTCCTCACTACCAATAAAAGATTAATCAAAACCTTTTTTTTTTTTTTAAATCAAAAAGAAAGATTCCCTCATTTGAGATCAACTTGTCTTTAGAGATCTTGTTATTGATCTGTAGTTATAGTGATCTCTTAAATAAACAATTCAATGGCTTCTAATTTTAGTCCAAATTTGACATCTTGACAATAGCAAAAAACTTATGACTTCCTAAAATATCAAGAACAAATTGAAATTTTAACTAGTAGCAATGGTTTTTACAGAAAAAAGAAAAATGCTTATAAAAACCTATCAACCTTTTAGTAACTTATGGATAAGCTTTATTTCAATTTGATTCGATATTTTTTTTTAAATTAAAAAGCCAACATCATTTTTTAACGTTCAGTTGAATGTAGAAAATAGACAACCCACCATGAGAGCAAAAATGGAATGGACATATAAATAGACAGTAGTCATGGTGAAGACAAGATTTGGATTTCAAATTTGTTTTGGTGCTTTTTTTAGTTAAGATTCTTGGAGTTCAGGGTAAATATGGTTGAGAATGAAGAAGGCTACATCCTGATTGGACCAATAAGCAGTGTGCGATGTCAAGACAGAAAGATAACTGCTTTCAAAACTGCTTTCTTTTAATTGAAAATCCATTCTGTAATTAAGTTCTGAAAAAAAGAATTTGATAAGAAAAATTTCATGGAAAAAAAAAAAAATTAACATTTTAGTTTTGTAAAGCACAATACAAATGATACTAGGTACTCCACAAATATGGCCTTTTGCCAGATAAAATTTTAAAATCGGTTTCACTATTTAAAGATTCTTAAATGAACATTCAAATGTACAAAAATTAAATTTTGTTTTATCTATGCAAAAATTTACAGAAAAGAAAACACCTAAAAATGAAGAAACCAAAAATAATGCACATAAGTTTTTTCTTTATTTCCATTCAAAAGAATTATATACATAAAACAGATACAAATTATATTTTCTCTATACACATAAAACAGATATAAATTATATTTTCTCTATACACATAAAACAGATACAAATTATATTTTCTCTATACACATAAAACAGATATAAATTATATATGTCTTCATAAAACATAATACAGATGAGTTTTCTATTTTCAGTCTCAAGAGAAGAATTATTTTTTATATTTTTAAAATAAAAGCAAATTACAATTAGAAACAAATTTAAATCATTTTAATATTAAACAATTTTTGACAATGTGCTTTTCTAAAATACCAGTATTATCAGCTGCTTATTTTGGAGTAATTATAGACAGAAAAACAAAAAATCTGTCATGATTTTATCATAAGTTATTGCTTGTATATAAACCAAACCTCAATAAACTAATACCTCCAAAATTATTTACCCAATTTGAATCGAATTATGTTGATAGATCTTCAGATTAAATGTTTGTTGATATTTAATTATTTGAAAGATAGGCCATAGGCCAGAAAGATAGGCCATAAAAAAAAATCTAAATAATTTTCTAATCACTCAGAGAAAATTATAAAATTTATGTAAAACCAAAGGCCATTTCTCGGGGCCTTCAAATTCCTGCAAGAAATCAAATTCTTATATAATAAAATAAACCTGGAAATATTTGTTACTCTGGATTGACATATTGATTCAAATTCCAGAACATTTTGACAAAAACTTAAGTTGCAATTCATCAATATTCACAGGGAATTCTTCAATAGTAGTTTGCAATTTGATTCATCTTTTACAACATTTATTCAAGTTTTCCTTTTGAAAGCCACCTCCCACCACCAATCCAATTAATGAAGTTACTTTGTCGGAGTTAGTTCCTCCTTAGTTCCTTAACCCTTCACCAGGGGTCTCTCTCCTCTTGCTATAAATACTGGGTGACCTTTTGCCTTGATCTCTCTTTTCGCCTCAGGCCTTGGGCTGTATACCACCTTACGTGAAGGTGAGGTAATTCTTTTCTCTTCTCTCTTCATTTCAGCTAATACCAATATGTAAGCTCTCACCAATACAGCGTTTCCCAAATTCTGGGAACACGCTAAGAACAATACCAATACACATACTTACGAACACTCACCAAAATACACACACATAACATTCACCACACAAACAATGTAACTGTCCATGTGCTTGTAACTTGTTGTTAATACATATATTTGTTTGTATATAATTATCGGTCTTGTTTGTTTTCTTTGTCTTCTTTGGACTTAATTAAAGTTCAACATTCTCTTGTAGCTGGGCTGGCTAGCAGGAAATTTTAACCAACATGTGTTCTTTACATCTTCACCCCACAGTCCTCTACAACTTCAAGTTCAAATGAACAAAACACCGAGTTTTTTGTTCAAACATTTTTTGTAAGCATTCAATTTACTTTACAAATCCCAAAATAGTTTATTCCTTACACTCACTATTAAATCTAATCATATTTATAAAATTCCACAAAACCCTTTACAAATTGTATCTGCAAAAATGTATACATTTTATTAAAAAGTGAATGCCATACATTCAAATCTTAACAGTGGACTCCTATGTTAGATTAAAAGATTTCCTGCTTTCAGTTTCAATTGGGAAATACACAATATATATTTATGAAAAGAAAAAAAAAACTTACTGGGTGCATTTGCTAAAGAACAGGTTGGAATTGGTTCAGGACCCATTTCTTCTAACTCTTTTGCTTCATTTTCCATTTTCTTCAATTCTTTTAATTCTGGGCTCAAATTTTCTGATGGAGATTTTTTAATGAATGTGAGGAACATGTTACCTGAAAAAGAAAACCCATTAATTTTTTAATTTTTCATTTGATGAAGAACATAATTCTACAACAATATTAGTTGTATCATAACAAAGTTTTATATTTATTAAATTAAATGTTATTGTCATTTAGTAAACAACTAATCATATCCTTCAGATACCAGAACACACTCACACACACAGAATATTCTATTTTTCTGCTGATATACATAGGTTTGTCATGAACATATCCAGTCATTTAGATATACTGAAAAAAATGGTTGCATGGCATTGATGTAACTTGGCAACCAATCACAAGAGACCTTATTATACATGCATGAATAGATACTCTCCTGTAGGGTTACTAGGGCCCCTAATTTTCTGTTTCAAATTTTCCTTGGTTCCATTTCCACTTTTGGTAAATTCGTTTTTTTCTGTTTTTACTTTTGGAAAATTTCGTTTTTTTCCATTTTATAGTATTTTATGAGAAAATTGCAATACAGTCTGCTATAATTATTATTAAAACTGAAAACAAAAATATAATTCAAAGTTTTTTTGCATATAAAAAAATAGGAAATATCTACAAATCTTTTTTTAAATGTTAAAATCCAAAAATAAATCTTACTTATTATAAAATGCAGATTGTTTGTGTGTCTGTTCGTTTATATATGGGATCATATTTCCTACATTTTTCAAACGATTTCAACAAAACTTAATAGGACTACATAAAATTACCCGGTGGTTGTTCTGACAGTGCCCAAAATTGGAAAAACACAATTGTTTTTGCATGAAATCAATTTGAAAGCACAGGTAAGGGTATCGCACCCGGCCGGAAGTTACTGCCAGCTACTCAAACGTCCGAATGCCGTTAACTTCCGGTGACTCAGCGTTTTTTTTTCAGAGAACGATACACAAAAAGTAAAACAAATGAAACATAAACATACACAAGTCCTCCCAACTAAAAATAATAATTGGAAACTACTTTAAATACACATGAAACCAAATCCAAATGAAACCCATGTGTACAGTCAAAACGCGGAAGTTAATTTTTAGTCATCAACCAAAAGATATTGCCAACCGGCTACAATGCTAACTGCAGACGACATAAATACAGCCAATTTCTTCCACTCCGGGGTAAAGCGACGGGCTCTCCCACTCACCTTCACCTGGCTGACCCTCGTGGAAAATAAGCCTCCACATCTCAAGTGTTAATAAAAGCAAAGCATGTCAGATTTATAAAGATTTCTTATTTGTCCCTTATCCTATCATTCTCTTGCATTCCTATCTATATTTGATCTTAATTAATATATATATATATATATATATATATATATATATATATATATATATATATAAACAACAGATGCAAACTATGCCTGGAAGAAAAAATTAAAATAATTAAGTACAAAAATACAAGCCACTTATTGAACCAGAGAAATGAAATTATACTTAAATGTCAGCATAAAAATAAGTTTATATAGTCTTAAAAATAGACATTTATTTTGCATCAAACACTGAAAAATATATATTAGGTTTGTAACTATGTAAGTTTATATATATGTATGTATATATGTATGTGTATTGTATATGTGTGTATCTATCTATTACTTTTATTACTCTTATTATTACTTTAAATATATTATATATATATTTTTTATTACTATTAAATGATGATGATGTTTAAATGAATAACAACATAGATTGCATTTCTGTGATTTTTATTACTGGTTGCGCAGTTAAAGTTTTATCCATAAAATTTTCCCCTACCTTCCCTTACTGCAATATTCTCAAAAAAATCTAAAATAGGATCTGTTATGTAATCGGTACTGAATTAGCTTCTTGACTTCAGCCGCTTTCTCACAGACATGATGTGGCTTCCCTCTGTCTTTTCTACAAATATTTTCATGGCTACTGCACTGATGAGCATTTTTTCCCTGGTGCCCTGACTACATGAATTTAAGTGTACTACTAGATTGGCATCTAGCTCACAACTTTTTACTGTTGAAATAGTTACATTTACAGCCTGTAGCAAAGGAGTCAAATTCAAGAGTGTAAGGAACATAACTCTTTCCGCCGGAAAATGCCTGACACAATGCAACGCAAAGAAATGTACACCGAACACGGGTGTAATGCCCTTCTGTCAATTTCTCCAAGCGACCTGTTTTTTTCATTCGGTTTTTCCAGTTACGAGTCCTTTTTTAAAGCTGATAGTTTTGTGTTCATTTTGTTTAGTTCCTTTTTCGTAACAGATTTAATGTTTAGTATAGAGCTTAGAAAAAATTTGCAATGAAGTAAGGCATGTAGCAACATCAGCACGGCAAAGGGCACTCCTTTAAAGGCAAGGAAGGGCAAAAATATTTTAAGTGAAGTGATAGCGATTGCTGTATAAGTTGTACGATTTTTGAATCAAGCACGGGCAACGCCTGGCCATGCTGCTAGTTATATAAAAAAAAAAAAAGTAACATGACTAGACAATAAGATAATGGGATGTTACAGTGCATAATTATCTTTGAGGTAGAACTTTTAATCAGAGCTTCCTTCTTTAAGAACACATTCAAAACGTTTGATTTTTTTAAGTATTTAGATTGATTTATAATTATTGATTCATAATATAAATCATGTTTAAAGTACCAACTGCAAATAACTTGAATCTCAATAATGAATATCTAAATAAAGTCAAACATTTTGACTGAAATTTTACAAAACAGTAATTAAAACATAACAGAATCTTTATAACAAAATATCAAAATACAAATTAAACATATTAATTCAAAATTTAAATAAAACAACTTATCCCAAGTTGAAATACTGCTCAAATTTAAAATTGCTAATTTCTTAATTTGGGAAATATCTAATCTTCAAATCTCTTCTCTAAATCTCCATTGTAATACAACATTGTTAGTTGCTTGGTGTTCTCAGGGGTAAGACTTTCACATTGTTTATTGAGTAAATGTTTATACTAAGAAAATGAAGATTCAGCATCTATGCTGGTAATAGGCATCCATATGACCTTATTGGCAATCTGTTCCAGAAGAGGAAATCTGCTTTTATTTGCATTCCAAAATGATGGGATATTAAAAGGATTTGGTAAATCATCTTGGTAATTCACATACATTTGGAATTCTTCAAGAAGATCAGTAAAAAAAAAATTGCAAGTCCTTGATGGCTGCAAAACTGTCTAAATCATGGCCTATATAGGGTAGCTGTCTAGGATCAAACAGGTGAGCTCCCTTGTAAAAAGTTATACACAGGGTGGGTATCCAGATATTTAATCAGTTTCAAAAAAGATGTGCTGAAAAAATGTTGGAAATTTGAGATAACTCTCTCCTCTGTGTTTTCTAGTTCAGAAAGAAGATGATCAGTTTCTATGCCAAATGTTGAGTTTCATGTACCAATATGCAAATACTATTTTACATTCTCCATGTTATATACAACACATGCAAGTTTCTTGTAAGTTTGTCAAAGCTGTTATTAAATGAGTGCAGTTCTCATTTATAAAATGCAGATTTAGGCACAAATTATGGTAAGAGGCATGATGTAGTCGACCATCATCTACTAATTCTAGAATCCTATCTACTGCAAGTCCATAGCTCTTTTCTTGCTTAAAGAATCCTTCATACAACTGTACAAAGGATGAGTGATATTTGACCACATTAAACCAGGAATTTCATCTGTTTGCCACTGGTACAGGGGGTAGTTTCACTTGTTCCTTAGGCAAGGAACCTTCAAACCATTTTAAATATCCCTTTTTCTGACTAGGCTTTTTAAAAAAGGCTGACTTGATGAAACTAGTGAACTGGGTAACATTATCAAATACTGACCAGTGTGAAAATACTTCACCAACAAGATTTAAAATATGTGCTAAGCACAACACATAGCAACTGTTAACAAAGACATTTGACAACACTTCCTTATGAGCTTTTTTTGTAATAGGCTGCAATATCTGTTACAAAGCAACAATATTCTCAAATGCAATATTTGCAATTACATTCAAAATTCTGTGCTCCTGACAGTTGTTTCATCTGTTATGATGCTAACTGATTAGCAAGCTTGGCTTTCAGGGCAGCAAAGTGACAAGCAAACAATTTTAGTAGATGAAGTTACCTAATACAGTTGGCACTTGGAATAGCACCACCTTCTTTACAATGTTTTAATATGAATAGCCTCATTTTGTCAATTTTGTATAGGGAAATGTCGAACAATGTGTACATTTTCAAAAAATCAAGGACAAAATCATCTTGTACCTTTTTACTTTTCAAAAAAGTTGTGATTGTCTTCTGTTTCAGTAGAGTCGACTTTTTTTGTCGAATGAGTTTTTGATTTGATGTGATTGTGTCAACCTTAAAAATGTCAACACTATGAAGACAGAATTTGCAAAATAACATATTTTCTTCTGCATAAAAGTTATCAAGAAATTGTTTTACTCTGGCCTTAGCACAAATTTTAGATACTGGGGTCATTTTCTTCTTTTGTCTGTTTTTTTTTTTTTTGTTAGAGGAGCAGCCCCAACTTTAGAAGTTGATTCACTATATTGACTTGATTCAGTTATCATGGCAATTTATTGCTTATTTATACAACTGGTTTAGATTACAAAATATAAATAAAATATGAAAAAATAATCATTGATAATTAATATTATTAAAGGAATTTTTTTTTTGGTTCAGTTTAAATTTGTTTACAATAGTAAAGTACTGAAGATAATGCAATTATTAATCCAGGGGAATCACTGTGTGACAGTAAGTTTAGACAAGTTTAGTTTCATAGAATGGTGTTTTTGGAGAATTTTTTTTCTTTTTTCCTTTATTTCTAAATTGTATGGTAGGCACATGAGAGCATTTACTTTTCTTTCATATTCATAAAACAAGTTGTTTAGAATCTTTTACTTGTAAATTGTGTGAGGCCTTAAAGGAAATGAATTTGTTAAACTTACTGGTTTGATCTTCATCACTCTCCCCACTCCAATTTTGACAGCAACTAATTTCTTCCATTTCCACTTTAGCAATAGGTTTTGGTGGTCATGACCAAGCTGTG